CTGGGCGGGACTGCACAAAGCAGCCAGTCAACCCAGCCAGCGTCTTCTGAGTGGCAGTTCTTCCGGCCAAACACTAAAGGGGCCGAATTTAGAACGTTCAATATAGAACGTTGCTATTCAATTATAATAAGGGAGAGATGGTGCGACCTCATTTGGAGTACTGTGTGCAGTTCTGGTCACCACACCTTAAAAAGGATATTATAGCTTTGGAAAAAGTGCAGAAAAGGGCAACTCGAATGATAAAAGGGTTGGAACGCTTTCCCTATGAGGAAAGGTTAAAGCGCTTAGGGCTCTTTAGCTTGGAGAAACGACGACTGAGGGGGTGACATGATCAAGGTTTATAAGATTATGCATGGGAAAGAGCAGGTAGAGAAAGAGGTACTTTTCTCCCTTTCTCACAATACAAGAACTCGTGGGCACTCCATGAAATTGCTGAGCGGTTGGGTTAGAACGGATAAAAGGAAGTACTTCTTCACCCAAAGAGTGATTAACACATGGAATTCACTGCCACAGAAGTGGTGGTGGCTACAAGCATGGACGGCTTCAAAAGGGACAGTGGCTATTAGCCGCAAGGTATAGATAGGGGCTCTGGGGCAAGTGATGCTCTGTCTTCTTGGTGCTTGGGGGGGGGGTCAACAGTGGGAGAGCTTCTAATGTCCTGGCCCCACTGGTGGACCTCCTGATGGCACTGGTATTTCTGGCCACTGTGTGACACAGAGTGTTGGACGGGATGGGCCTTTGGCCTGATCCAACATTGGCATCTCTTATGTTCTTATGACTTCTGCCAGTGGGTGACAATTTCTTTGTTTCCTTTGGCATTCTCTTCAATAATCCCTCCTTCCTGACCTCTGTTTTTTAATTTATGATTTTCTGTTTTATAAGTGTGTGTGGTTTTAGTTGTGTTTTAACTGGTTTCATTTCATGTTTTTATACTGCTCCGTTTTTTAGTTGTCAGCCTCAGTGGCCCTTAGAGGGTTAAGACAAGGTTGGATATAAATCTTGTAAATAAATAACATAATCTGATAATTGTTGCAGATCAAACTAGATAATAGCTAGAGGAATCTGTGTGAAGGTTAGCAACTCTTTCTTCAACAAACATTTTAGGTGTAAAAGTAGCACCCTTTTGGAATGTTCTCCAAAAACTCTTTGCTTGCTTTGTTCACTGTTATCCACAGACTGTTTACCATTGTTCATTTGAATCTGGAGCTGCCTTTTCTTGTGAGATGATCCCAGTTAATCAGGGATCACATAAATCTGTGTGGTGCTATCACAGCTCCACACAGCTAATCAGATTTGGCTAAATGGCAACATCACAAAGCCAAAAAAGAGTAAAGTCAATGTTTTCTTCCTTCCACTCTGAATAGGCAAATCTGTATGCCTGTTCACAGGCCCCTCTGAAAGACTGCCAAATGGATGGGGACTTTACACAATTGACAAAAACTCTCCTGCAAAATGTCCCCCTTCACTCAGCAGTAATTAATATCAAAAGGTTTTCTGTTGGGCTCCAATCCCTACAAAGACCAACTTTTAAAGCTAAGCCGTTACACCTGTAGTGAAGCATAGCGATTGGGGTTTTATAGTTTCACTCATTCCAGCTCTGAAGGGTTCTGTAAAGGGAAGAAAAAGAAGCTGTTGGCAAGCTAGTCAACTATTTTTTTCTTGTAGGACAATGTAGAAATATCACAAAACTCTCTCTGTCATTGGACCTCAGTATAGTGTATATCATATGGCATTGTGTATAGTATAGCCAGGAGTTCCTAAGATTGTCTGGCAGTCTTAAGGTCTAGCCCTTTTAGCATTATGTACCACCATGTGGTGAGCTAGACTTATTTTGGGGCTGTGAGAGTTCAGAGAGGTGTGACTGACCCAAGGTCACCCAGCTGGCATTGTGTGGAAAAGTGTGAAATCGAACCCAGTTCTCCAGATTAGAGTTCATCGCTCTTAACCACTATACCCAGCTGGCTCTGTTATTGGACCTCAGACTCTTCTGCTTAGTTTTCAAGATCTGATGAGATTGGGCTATACCATGACACCTTCCCTCGTGTTCCTGCATCCCACCTGCTTACTCACGTTTGTCATTCTGAATCTAATTTTGTATTTTCCTGTTGTGGCTCTGATCCCTCTTTCCCCTCTGAAAAGTGTCGGAGTTCCAGGCGTAGCATAGTGAAATCAGCTCACATTTATTGATTACATTGGAACAAAAAGAGATAACTTAACCGGTGCGAGGCCGGCTTATATTCGTGCACACACTCACACCCAACACACTCCCAATTCCCGTGGTAGGTTCTATATACATGGCCCCGGTAACGATAGGTTCTTATCCGGATCCTAACGCTCCCATTGGTTCTCGCTAGGATCCACAGTGGCTATTGTTCTAGACCCGAAGGTCTGTGAGCCCGGTAGACCACATGGCCAGGCACATGCAGTCGCCGCTATCATAATACATAACACCCTCCTTTCCAGAGGGTCAGATTCTACATTTCAGTCCATAGCGTGGCTTGGCTGAGGCCGTCACTGATATTCCCGTATCAAAGCCATGAATGAGGACTGGGAGGACAGAATAATATGACCGGGTCTGAAAGAGAATAATGCAGGGAGTGAACTGCTGCTGAGAGCATAGAACACTGGGGCTAGATCTTTTTTTAATGAAAGCTGAGAATTCAGAATTGGTAGTTCATGGCAATAGATCATTGCATGAGAAGTTATGCAAACAATTTTCTGGCTACTATAAGAGGAAAGCAGTAGCTACTTCACAAGATGTTGCACAAGAAGTACTGCACTGTTTAGTTTCCTGCTTGCACGTTACTGGATTCAAGCTAACAGTGCCATCATAAGCAGGGTTGCACCATTCTAAGTCCATTGAAGTCAGTGGGCTAAGAAGAGAGTGATTGTCAGCCTCCAGGCACAGCCTGGAGGTCTCCTGGATTTACAACTGATCTCCAGGTTACAGAGGACAGTTCCCCTGGAGAAAATGGCAGCTTTGGAGGGTGGACTCCATGGCCTTTTACCCTGCTGAGATCCCTTTTTTCCCCAAACCCTGCCCTCCCCAAGCTCAACCCCCAAATCTCCAGAAATTTCCCAACTCAGAGTTGGCAGCCCTAGCTGTAACAGTGTTTTAGGACAGCACAGTAGTTATCAAAATGAAGGGATACTTATCAATGGGAAGTAGGTTGCCTTGGAAGATATACCATGTTAATGGATACTTATTCATTCATTCAATGGATACTTATTCAGAGAGCCAGTTTGGTGTAGTGGTTAAGAGCGGCAGACTCTAATCTGGAGAACCGGGTTTGATTCCCCCCCTCCTCCACATGAAGCCAGCTGAGTGACCTTGGGTCAGTCACTGTTCTTTCAGAGCTGTTCTCTCACAGCTCTCTCAGCCCCACCTACCTCACGGGGTGTCTGTTGTGGGGAGAGGAAGGGAAAGGAGTTTGTAAATTGTTCTGAGACTCTGAATGAAGGGTGGGGTATAAATCCAACTTTTCTTCTTCTTCTTCGAAATTTCAGGACTTCATTAGCCCAGAGTATTTAAGAGAAATGATAGGATGTTTTCAAAGTAATGTCCAACAACAAACCATAGCAGGAGGGCTTTACAACCACCTCTAAACTGAACCCACAAAATGCTTCTTTACCATAACTGCAAAACTGTAGATCTGTCATGATTCTTCATGATTCCAAAGCCTTCAAGACTGGACAAAGTATCTTTATTTATTTATAATATATGTTGTTTTCAACCTTTTAAAAATACAATTTACAGGACAGAACAGAACAGATAAGAAATAAATGTAAATCAATGGAAATAAATGTAAATCAAGAAAACAAAAACAAACCCTATTCAGTTGCAGGATATAGGAACAAAATAGATTTTAAGAATACATATTCTAAAAATACAGATGCTTATCAGCAGATCTGGAAAGAAATTGTGTACAATGTGTTTGTCTCTCATAGGCCACCAGCACATATGGAAAGGACAAGGAAATGACCAAGCTATTGGACAGCATGAATTTCTATGTTCTTCCTGTGTTCAACATTGATGGCTATGTCTGGACATGGACTGAAGTACTACCTACATTTCTAGCTTCTCTAGTGAATTTGGTTTACTAAAAGTATTTAAGGTGATCCAAAAAATTCTGAAGGGGAATGGGTGGATGGAGGAAAAGCAATAAGAGACTGGATTTGATTTTCATAGGTAAACACAAGTATAACAGCTACACTGTTAAACTATATCCGTGCATACACTTATTTATTTATTTTAAACATTTATTTACTCACCTTTCTCCCAAGCATCCAGGTCCAAAGGCCGACACAGTCCTGGATGGCCACAAACTTGAGTGACTTTTGCAGAATACAGATCTTTGCCAGTTCCCATTTCCCACTGCAGCCCATGCAAGGATGGTGGCTGATTTCTGCCAGTCAGCCCCTTCCCACAGTGCAGTCCTTCCCCGTGCCATATTCCACATCATTCCCATATACCCAAGGACCTCTGAAAAAATGAATTTTCAGGGGATGCAAAGTGGTACAGTGGAGAGAGTGAACTGGCAAGGAACTGTTCTTCATTCCATATTCTCTGGACCCAAGCCAGACTGCCCAGCCCACAAGTGTTAACTGCCCCGCCTTACAATTCTTATTCCTGACTTTTTCAGGCTTCTGTGCATGCATATCATTTACACATATGTCCCACAGGTGAAGGCAAGATAAGTTCAAGGCCAGGGAACATGGAAGCAAGCCTGGCCTGGAATCAGGGTGGGGTTGGCATAATCCTTATACCTCAATGTGTAGCTGTCACGAACGCGGTACTAGGCCAGGCAAAAGCAAGAGAGTCCAAAAGCAGTCCAAGGTCAAAACCGAGCAAGCAGCAATACTGAGAGACCAAGTCCAAATCACCAACCATTAGAGTAGTCCTTAAAGCCCGAGTCCAAAGAAGTCAGAAGTCCGAGAGTCAGAAGTCCGAGGTGCGAGTCAGGAGCAGAGTCGTATGAGCCGAGGTCAGGAGCCGAGAAGTCAAGACGAGGAGCAGGAACTGGAACACGGGTGGTGAGGTGCAGAGCTTCATCCAAAATGACTAGTTGCTAGCACAACTAGTTGACGTGAGTGCGGTAGCTAAACAGCCCAGCAGGCTGTTGGTCATTAGTGCACCCTGATAGTGTCCCGACTCCTGCTAGTACTCAGGGCTAAATGAGCGCCTGCCATGCATGCAAGCATCTCGTTGCCGGGATGCCATGTCCCGTTGGCGTTGTTCCTGCAGACGGGATACCGGTGGGGGTGAGTCAGGGGGGCATGTTGCTCTGGCATGACTTTGCTTCAGCTGCTGCTGGAGTAGTTCCCGTGGCTTCAGGTGCGGGGTTGTCAGGAGCCAGGAGCTCATTACCAGCAGTACTTAGGTCTTCTGCTGGGGCCAAATGCTCATCCCCAGCAGTCCTTTGCTCTTCCGCTGAGGCCAAGTGCTCGGGTTCAGTAGCAGCCGTGACATTAGCAGTTGTACATAGTTTGTGCTAACAGCTGAATAAGACCTTTAAACTTTTCAGAATAAATATTAAGTCAAAGTGCATAGAAAAAGAGAAGATAACTTCCACCACATTGTCCTACAGAATCGCATGTGGAGAAAGAATCGTTCCAATAACTCCAACAGTGACTGCATTGGCACAGACTTGAACAGGAATTTCAAAGTCGCTTGGGGCAGTAAGTATAATATATTTGGTAGCAAAAGGCTTGGAATGTAATCAGCAACTCAAAGCATTAGCAATAAACCTTGTTAAGTGTGTCTCGTTTAATTGTTTCCAGAAACAAAGATGTCATCCTCAAAATTGTTTATTCCAGGATACCTTTTCTGCCCTGGGGGGAGGGGGGAGAAGTTTGCAAAGTGGCACTTAGAGGACTTAATGTAAAGCAATAACATATGTTAGCACAATGTTAAAAGGTTGCAGTGGCCCTGCAATGCTCAGACAATTGCTGCAGACCATATACACTCAGAATTCAGGAGGTGCATTCACACAACCTATTCATGACCTGTTTGTGTGATGAAGAATTCATTGCAACTATGTCTTCTCTTCGCTGAAAAATGCAGCTTATCTATTTAGAACAAACACCATCACCAGTATTTTCATACATGAGGTTTAAATTGCCTTATTCTGTACCATTCACCCAGAGATTTGAATCTTTCTTAATTGAGTGGCATTTGTTGTGAATGAGCACTCTGGACAGCAGTGCCACAAAACATTTTCCCTTCTAGATTTAAGCTTTGTCCCAAGCTAAGGTGCTTCACATGCTCAGGAGGATAACAGGAGGAGGAGGATACAATTCAATTTTGTCAATTTTTATGCGGTATAAGAAATCATTATGAAATTATTTAATCAATGCAAGGCAAAATGGTGGGGGTGGGGGTGGAAAGTGCTAACAAGTCACAGCTGACTTATGGCGACCCTGTAAGGTTTTCAAGACAAGAGATGTTCAGAGGTGGTTTGCCATTCCCTGTCTTTGTATCACAATTCTGGTATTCTCTGGAGGTCTCCCATCCAAATATTAGCCAGGGCCAACACTGCTTAGCTTCCGAGATCTGATGAGAGCAGACTAGCCTGGGCTATCCAGGTCAGGGCTATAAAGCAAAATACACCAATAAAACAAAATACACCTAACTTAAAACTATAAAGATTCTACACTCTAATTATATAATCACTTAATAAAATTTTATGGGGGGGGTAGATATAAAGGTACACATCTGTATTATGTGGTCCCCATTTTCAGATAATGAAGATGTCTCACCACTCAGAAGTATCCTGGCTATGAAATCTTCAGGCGCAAATTCCCTTTGGGCACTCTGACCTTCCCTGAGTTTTAGGAGCAGTTAGGAGCCTCGGACACAATTTGAAATTTGCTTTTATCCCTTTGGGTACTGGCAAATGCAGCATTTGCCCTCTCCACTAATTTTTCATTGGCTCAATTACACCTTTTTCCAAATTTGTTTCACCTTAAGAACTTATAACGTTCTTATGCATTTTTGGGAAAGCATGTTGTTTTATTCCAACAACCTCTCTGCACCCACTCCCTGCTTCCTTGTTCTTTGTACTTCCTATGTTCCTGTTTTCTTACATTCATGCCTTATACAGAACAGTTTCAAGAATATTTAAGCAGAGCTAGAAACTCAGTTTTCACAGCTAACCTTAGCAATCTAGCTTAGCAAAGTTTTTTTAAAGTCACTTGAATAAAGGTTATTTCTTCCCTTGTCAGGCTTTCTTGCAAAGCTTTGACCTGTTTCATATTTTATAGTACACTACTATAAAATGGATATAGGAAATGAAGACAAGAATGGCACAAAAGCTAAAATTATAGACCTTCACATTCACCTTACAAATCCATTGCAGCAATGAAGGCTCAAAATCGCATGGGAAGGAAAGTGGTTGTATTTACTCAGCAGCTAGGGAGCCACAATGGCTCTTTGACACACTACTTGTGGCTCTTCTGAGCACTGTTCCCATATGTAGTACCTGTTCAATTTTTTAGGAAAGTGAGCAAGGCCCTAGCCTGGTGGGGCATGTAGTTGGCAGGTGGTCTTCACCTTGAAACAGCTGCCATCAGAGAAATAGGTAAGCTACAAGCCTCCCTGAGGTGCAGGCATTATGCCATGGATAGAAGTTGTGATGGATTGCAAAGAAAAGCAGGCTTTTTTAAATGCTGCTTGTGTCTGAGAGTCAGGAAGTTCAAGAGAATCTGCCCTGGAGAGACATGCTTATGTGATTGGCTGCTCTACTCTCTCTCTGATTGGCCAGGCTCAGCTTAAAGAGAAAATAAAACAGCTGATCTAATGTTCCCTCTAAACTGTGGAGTGTTGTGAGCAAAAATTCTACTTTGTGAGCCTCTGGTATTAAAGTTGTGAGTGAGCGATTTGGCTACTGCATAAATTAGTTTGCTCTGGAGCCATCCTTCCTGAGCTAATACAAAAACCTGTGGGCCAGAGGCTGAAATACTGTAAGCTAGCTCACACTAACTCAGTTTAGAAGGAACACTGATCAGGACGATTGGTCTCGGTCTGAAAACTAACGTTTGGATCAGTAGCCAAAGAGTTTGGCTTCTGAGGGAAGAGACTTTGGGATTCAGTGATTTCCAACAGGCAATCATCAGAAAAGTACTTCTACAGAGAGAAGAGAGACCTCATTGTCTTAAATATATTAGAACTACTTTCAGGGAGCACTTAGGCTGTGATCACACACTAAATGATCCACTTTCAATGCACTTTCCAACTGGATTTTACTGTATGAACTGTCAGTCAAGAAAGCTATGGATCAGCTTTATATAGACAATGGATACTGGAAAAGGATTTGGCAGAAGGTCTGGGTAGTAAGAGAGGACTTCCATACAAGCCAAATAGTAAAAGGAGTTATTGCTTCTTAGGGACAAGGAGAATAACTTCCTGCCAGTGAAAGGGATTGGAAAGAGAACCCTGGTCTGTGATAAAGGTGAGAAGTTTAGACACTACAGGAGTTAGTGAAAAACTGAAATATCTAAAAGGAAAACCTAGAACTCTGAAGGGAGAAATCTAGAAACCAGGGCTTTTTTTGTAGAAAAAGCCCAGCAGGAACTCGTTAGCATAATAGGCCACACCCAACAGCAGAAACTCATTAGCATATTAGAAATTCATTAACATTAGCATATTCAGCCCTTGGAGGGAAGGCAGTTTAAACTGCCTTCCCTGGCTTGCTCGAGCGCCCAGTAGCTGTGGGGAGCCCTGGCAAGCCAGCCTTTGAAAAGGCCAGGGAAGGCACGGGGAGGCATTTAAATGCCTCCCTGATCCTTCCAGGCCCCCCTTGGCCTGCCCACCTCGGAGTCGCCGAGGGGAGTGTCGCTCTCCAGGCCTTCCCTCTGTAGCCACACACACAGAGGTTTTGGCTGTAGTCAGGGGTCATTTCGTAGAAAAAGAGCTAGGGGAACTCATTAGCATAACTCATTAGCATATGCCACACCCCCTGACATCAGGGGCCTGGCGGTGGACCTGCAAGGCCGGCGGGAGTGAGAGGAAGCCCCGCCAAGGCCCTCCCTGGCCCCAGGCAGGCAGGGGTGGGGAGAGGCGGCTGGAAGCAGGGGGCGGGGCTTCATCGTGTGCCCCGCCCCCCCCCCGCACCTCACCCGGGGGAACTGTGTTCCCCCGCAATCCCCCCTGAAATGATCTCTGGCTGTAGTGGGTGTGGCGAACTCTGAAGCCAACCGGAACAGTCCTACTGAATAAGCATTATCCCCACCAATTGACAAAGGTGTTTAGGAACACAACTTTATTCAGTGTTAACATTAGGTCTGTAAATTATGCCTTACAGCAGAAAGTTCTTCTGATGATCCTTGTGACGAGATCTACTGTGGATCCTCTGCAGAGTCTGAACAAGAAACTAAAGAAATTGCAAATTTCATTCGGGACCACCTTGCTGTCATCAGAGGCTACATAAGCTTCCATTCCTACTCCCAGATGTTGATGTTTCCATATGGCTATACATACAAGATGGCACCCAATCATGTCGAACTGGTATGTGGAAAAGGGAATCCATTTCCATAGGTCAGCAATGAGAACTATTTTCTCTGCAAAGTGCATGCAGTTTCAAGCGCTAATTCACATTAATAGAAAGAAAGTTAGTTTCTTCTTCCTGATTCTCAAAAACTGAGTAGCTCTTGCAGATTTCTCTGTTTCCTGTGGGATGTAAGAACTATGTTAAAAAATCAGACCATATATCATATGTACAGGGTTGTTAAACTAATTTACTCTGAACAGATCTGCATTCAGGTTTAGGAATTCAGAAGAAAAAGTAGAGGACTTCTGTGGTTGATTTCAAGGAAGATTGTGTGCAATTAGACAGAAAGCAAGTGAGCCCAGATTTGATGTCCTTTCACAGCTGTCTTCAGATCTCTGCTGCACAAATAATGTAACTTTCTAGTTGTTTTGGGAACAGGTTAATTTAATAATGGGAAGCAGTCCTGGATTCAGCAAAATGTATAAACTGAGTATGTGCATAAAAGAATGAGAATTGCATTTAGGGGGGAAAGCTAGCTGTCCCATACCATTCCCAAACACAGCCTTATTGCCCTTATCAACAGATAGTATTGTGCAGGGGACTGGACTTGGCTTAGGGGCTGCCAGTTGATGGGCCCTAGGCTTGCCAGTCTCCAGGTGGTAGATTGAGATTTCCCACTATTACAACTGATATCCAGGTGACAGATAGCTGTTCACCTGGAGAAGATGCTTGTTTTGGAAGGTGGACTTTATGGCATTATACCTCATTGAAGTCCCTCCCCTCTCCAAACCCCACCCTCCTCAGGCTCCACCCCCAACATCTACAGGTATTTCCCAACCCAGAGCTGGAAACCCTACCCCCAGCCTATTGGTTTTTCCCAGTCCTTCTCCACTTGTTAGGTCTTACCACATTGTCGTTACAGCCATATTTGCAGTACAGATGGCTAAAGTAGGGGGGGAAAGATGATGGAATATTAGAAAATGAGGGCAGTGCAAATAAATACATTATGACCAATGGTGTGCTGTGCATAATGTAGGAAGCAGTTAGATCTATATACCTTCCTTCTTGCACACAAAGTGAGCCAAGGCACAAAAAGTTCCACTTAGAATCCATTTCTTATCTGCACTGTAGCACAGCTCAGACTAACCCAGACAGCTATTGCTTCAAATATGCATGTGAAACCACCATTTTAAAAAAATTACAGGAACAGGAAATGATGGTTTCACTGTTGTCTGGTAGATTTTTTTTTTCTTTTCCAAATGTCTTAACAAATCTTAGCAAATGTTATTTTCCCTAAGTGCAGCTTGACCCCTACTAAGATAATAAAAGAAAGGCATTATGAAAACCAGTTTTCCTATTGGAAAACCAACTTTTAAATTTTGTTCAAGTTTAAAGATAAATGTAGCTATAACAACGCTGCCACCTTGTGTCATTTACCTACACAGAGAAATGTAGGTTCCTAAATTTGTGCTCCCATCTCCATGTTAAGTTTTTTAAAGCTAAAGCATCTCTCTCTCTCATCTATCTCTCTCTCTCTCTCTCTCTCTCTCTCTATATATA